TAAAAAAAAATAGCATACCAGCAGGGAGATCACCAGTATATTCATGAAATAAAGGGCAAAATCTAAAATTATGCAAAAACTTGTTGAGTAAAATTTATTCAATATATACAATCCACAAATTATACTGTTAATTGTTGCATTTTGAATACTTGTACTCTAAACTTAGTCCTACCATCATCCATGGAGCTTTTTTTAGCTCCATGGTTCTACTTACAACTGACCTGTCACCCTTGATTCTACCGTGGAGGTACAATCTTTTCTACCTCCATGATTGTACTAGACTAGCGCTAAGACAAGAGTGCCATGGTGTAATATCCATACAAAGCTATGCATGCTGCAGTGACAACCACCAAAACAAAAATTACATTAGCAGATGATTATGATATGTTTCCGATGAAATACATAAACAAGAATTTATGTGAATTAAAATTAAAAAGATTACATACATTAAACTAAATTATAATACATTTCACTCTGAAAACGGCACATATACTTGCACATACTTGCTGCTGTTACTACATGTACTGTCAAATACTTTATTTGAGCTGGAAATAAATTTTGCTAAAAAGAATCTTTGGTTGTTTTGTATAGAATTTATTTTCACTGATTTTTCACGAGTTGAATGTAAAATATAGGAAAAAAGGTATATTTGCCGGATTTTATTCTTTTCACTGAATCATTCCTTCAGCGAGAATAGCAAAAATAAATTCCAAGCGAAAATAAAGTATTTTACAGTATTTCATTTGGGACAGGATCTGTTTCCCTTGGTGACCTCTCGTACCCTTTCTATGCTTACAATGTTGGAGTGGTTCCCCATTCAATACATGAATTGATTTCAAGTTTAGGTTAAACTGTGTGACTTGTCCATTTGTTGTTTCCTAAATGGTACACTGCATGGTAGTATGTAAAACAAAGAAAACTTCACAAATTTACATGTACAGTAGTTTCACCCAGTACATTTATTCACTAACAATTATTCTTAGCTATGTGATATAATTGGTATTATTTATTTTATATACATCTTTCTACCAATAGATGTACCAGGTACATTGACAGTTCAGATTAATCCAGAAGACCTACCTGAAAAAGATCCACATGAACCAGTGACAAAGAAGCAATATGTGTATATGGTTGCAAAGTCTGCAGCACTTGGCTTCCAAGAAGAAAGTGTTGTATTGGTCAGCCATAGAAGTGGCTTTGTGTTCATTCAAACAGATAAACCAATTTATAATCCTGAACAAGAAGGTATGATATGAAGCTTACTGTATTAAATTTAACACACATACTGAATCAAGGCCTTCTCTAAATGATTCCATTTTGTATAGACTTTTGTAAAATTTCGCAAACACATCATATTGTCAATTATAATAATCTATTTATAATTTTTCTTCTATTTAAGTGAAAATTCGAATTCTTCCACTTGATCATCGAATGAAACCTTCAGATACACTGGTAAGAAATTTTTACTCGTAAATTTTTAAAATTTGATGTCAAGGACAAAAATTCATGAAAGTTGCTGTGACACTTTAGAACCACAGTGAAATTTTTACTGACCTTTGGAATTCACGATAGTTTGTTTTTCATTGAATAAAAATGGCTTACAGTATTGTATAGGTAATTGAATGCATTGGAGTAGGTTTACAATAATAAACCTGCACTGTTGTGAGTATAATCTTGTAATAAGTTACACCAATACTACACTGCTGGTCTCACAAAGGCTCCACCCATCTGCAGAAAGGGCTCTATTGAACAAGTTGCCAAATTGACAAATAATTCAATATCATCAACGGAATGAATTGATTATGCAATTTAGTGATTATGGTAGTCACTGCCAATTTTTAGCTTGAACAAAGCCAAAGTTGCAGTAGTGTTAGCTTATGTCTGTGTTTTTGTTGGCCAAACATTTTTTCTTTTCAATGGAATAAAATATTTCAATTGTTGAATCATATATGTTAATTCAAATTTGTTTTCAACTTAAATTATGTGAAACTTAGGTTAAAAGTATAAGTATAAATAAAATTTATCTTAATAGTGAAATAGCTGTTTTGAAGGGACCATAGATACCCCACCTTGATGTTATATCAAGGTGGGGTATCTATGGCAATCATGAGTTTGTACAATGCATGCTATACACTAATATAAGAATACTTGACTATCTTTTTGATCCTTTGCAGCTTCGTATGGAGATATTGAATCCACAAGGAGTTATTGTGGAACGTCGAGATGATATAACGTCTGATACTGGAATCAAAGTTGAGCTTTTCCGATTTCCATTATTTCCAATGTTTGGTTTTTGGTCAGTTGTTGTTAGTTATGGCCCAGAGGTGAGTGTTTTTTAAGAATTACAATTTGAAATCTGCTTTACATGATTGTATGTAAGAGTACACAAAGGGGCACTAAAAGCTAAATACAACTTTACACAGTTTCTTGAATTCTCCAGAGACTTGTATATTTAAAAACAAGGTTTAGGCAATATTGGGGTCACCATGCTAAGTGAAAAAAAATGTTGTTTTCTTAGATTCTGAGACTATACTGTAAAGAATTTACAATAAAATTTGTTACAATAGTCTTGCCACATTATTTTAAAATTTTTTTCACTTTTTCAGCACATGCTAAATTCATCTGTGCAGTTTGAAGTCAAAGAATATGGTAAGTTGAATCAAATTGATATTTTTTTTATTCATTCATGTTCATGCACCATGTGAATGTCAAGATTCAACATGGCCGGCGATAATAGCAGCCATAATAGTTACACTAAGAATTTTCCCCAGTTCAATGCATTTGTTCTTTAATATACCAACTTCTTTTCATCTGTACTATTGTTTTATTGTGTTTATGTTTTTTTTCTTTTGTGACATAATCTCTGAAAACAGTATTTATTAGTTTTTGTTGTTTTACATTGTCTGATCATGTACACTAGAGCTTTAATACATGAAATGAAAGTGTTTTCTTTTTTTTGTAGTCTTACCAACATATTCATTAGAGATTAAACCACAGAAACATATATTACCACAAAGTAGGAGTGTTATTGGAACTGTTGAAGCCAAGTAAGTTTTCCTGACATACAACTTTCTTAGATGATACCAAACTAAACTTTCTACCATATTTGCATATTTTTTGAATAGAATCACATGCTCTAAGATTATTTTAGTTGATTCCTGAAGTATTATTATCTATTACCGGTATTAACACATACATAAATAAATGTAATTGAGGTGTGTCAATGGTCAAAATATGTTATCATTTCCCATAATGCATTGTACACTATGATTGATATATACGTATTACTATTACTATTTCTTTAATTTCTTTCAGCTATGTATATGGGAAACCTGTATCTGGAAATCTCTACATGAAATTTGGTGTTGACCAAGGAGATGGTAAAATGGAAATCATCAGAACTCTTCAGAGTTGGGTGAGATTAGGCTACTTTTTATAATTTTTTTTATTTTCTCATCACATGATGAATAAAGATACAACTCTTAAGATACAACAAGATACAACTGAAACCAAGAATTATTCACAGTTGATTCGGTGTTGCGGATATTATGCTCCACAGTCAAGGTAGTAAATTACCAAATGTCGTCAAATTTATATTTTTGTTATTTTTGGAGACGTTCTAATAGTACAAATATGGTAATTGTTTTCCAACAATGGGTTGTGATAAATAATTGTTCCACAGATACTCCTATTTTCTGAATCTTGGATTGGATTTGAAGGTAAAATGTTATAAAATTGATTGATTGTAATGGAATTTGCTTTTCAGATAAACGAAGGAACCGCATTTTTCGAACTTCCAGTTGAAGCATTTGTAACATCCCTAGGAGAAAACTGGTTTGAAGACAGTGAAGGAAAAAGACTGTTCATTGAAGCTTCTGTCACTGAAGATGGTACAGGATTGATTGAAAATATGACTGACAACACAGCTGTATTTGCTAGATCTCCATATAAATTCACATTCGACCAAACAGTAAAGTACTTCAAGCCGGGATTGCCTTATGAATTAAAAGTATGTCTGCTACTTTCAGTGTATAGTACTCTTTTAAATCACAGCTCCAGAAAAGAAATCACATAAAAAATATATAGAATTAAATTAATGCTAATTTGGGGGTGTGATATGTTAATGAAAAAATAATAAAATTGAAAGAAATAGTTAATTATTTGTAATGGCAATTTAAAATTAATTTTTTTAAATATTATAAATTATTACACATCCTGCACCAAAAACAAAAGAATGTAATTTACATAACATTTGAACAATTTTTCTTATCTGGCTGCAGCAACAATATAGTATTTGATGGAATCACATCTTTAAACTCAAGTCACAACTTGCATAAGATGTGTTTTTATTGGCGTTTTCGGCTGTTATCTCTTCTCATCTCTTACTAAAATAATACAACAAACAAGATATATATATTAACTTGTTTTGACTATTGTTGTCTTGTCACAATTCTATGTGAAGTTTATTGATTTGAAGTCATTTTTTTAAACAGTTGGTTGTCACACATGTCAATAACCAACCAGCACATGATATTCCTATTGAAATAAGAGCTCAAGCCGTTTCTGATGGTGGCGTTAATATTGATCTACTCAACGAAGGTGATCCTGCCAGACATGCAATTAGCAATGAATATGGTGAAGTCTACTACAGAATTGATGTACCCAGAGATGCAAAGACAGTCAGAATTACTGTAAGTAATCTTGTCATTGAAGAAAGTGCAATATAACCTGTGACACAAGTGGCTAATTTATTTTCCTGTACAGTAACATTCTGCATTCAAATTTTGTTTACATTGATTACAAATGTTTAAAATTAACAGAATTTCAGCAAGTAAATCATCACTAACATTTTACTGTTCCATTGTTCATTGTACAAAACCCGGATGTCACAGTTGAGAATACAGCATGACAACAAAGAATATTTCATGAAGTTATCTTGGCGCAATCCAAAGGATGCATTATTTGTGACCTTATGCTTTTCAAGAGAAGCAGCATAGATTGTTTGGTTTTTTAGCTCCGCTGTCGACTTTGTCGAGCGGAGCTTATCATAGGAGTGATTGTCCGTTGTCGTCCGTGTCAATGTTTTAACTTTTTCGACTTCTTCTTGAAAACTACAAGCCTGAATGCTTTGATACTTGGTGTATGTGTACCTTGGGTAGACCTCTCTCAGATTTGTTCATTTCATGATCATATCTTCAATTCTCTAATTTTGGTGAATATTTTTGTCATTTTTGGTAAAAAGTGATATTTTCGACTTCTCGTTAAAAACCGCAAGTCCAATTATTTTGATATTACATATATAGGTACTACATGTGGATCTCTCTCAAATTTGTTCATTTTGTAATGATATCGTCAATTCTCTAATTTTGGTGAACTTTTTTGTCATTTTTGGTAAAAAGTGATATTTTCGACTTCTTGTTAAAAACCACAAGTCCAATTGCTTTGATATTGTTACATATATAGGTACTACATGTGGATCTCTTTCAGATTTGTTCATTTTGTAATAATATCTTTAATTATCTAATTTTGGTGAATATTTTTGTCATTTTTGGTAAAAAGTGATATTTTCTTCTTGTTAAAAACCACAATCATTTATGGTGAAAAATGATATTTTTGAATTCTTGTTGAAAACAGCAAGTCCCATTGCATTGATACTATACATATTGTTCATTTTCTAATGATATCTTCTGTTCTTTAATTGAAATGTGCATTGCTAACAGCGGAGCTATCTCAGCCAAGAGGCTGCTTGTTTGGTAGTAGATCTGTCATTGCAGTCAATTATGGATAACTGAAAAATATCACTGAATGAATTGAATAAATAAAATGATAATAAATGTGTGTTGTGTTAAATTAATCTTTATACATGTAGGTAATGTGTATAATATTAAATAATAAATAAACCAGCATTATGGATTATTGATCTTTCTTACAGGCTAGAACAAATAAAGGCGATATTCTGCCCGAACAGAACAAGGAAGAATTATTTACTGCCCAACCTTATGAATCATCCAGTGGTGGCTACCTGCTTGTTAGAGCCCAAGGGGCACCCTTCTTTGTAAGTAAATATGTTACAATGATATACTGTGGAATACGGTACTTTATTTTCACTTGGAATTTATTTTTGCTGAAGGAATGATTCAGTAAAAATAAAATCCAGCGAAAATACCTTTTTTTCTATCTTTTACATTCAACTCGCCAAAAATCAGTAAAAATAAATTCAATATAACACACCTAAAAAGTCTTTTCAGGAAAATAAATTCCAGTAAAAATAAAGTATTTTACAGTATATGATTTCTATTTTATGGAAATACAAATCCATACACCCTCCATATATAATAATATTTTTATTTTTTTCCGAATAAAATTGAAGAGTGGGCTTCTGATTTGCTCCTGTCAAATTTAATTAATTAATTTTGATGTTGAATTGAATAATGTATTGAATATATGTTTGTCTTGTCAACACAGGTTCGTTCAAATATCAATGCTGAAGCACTGGTAACACAAGAGCTTGAAATCAGTAAAATTAATTATTATGTAAGTATTCAGTATTGTCATCAGATGCTACTATTAAACTACAACTTATAGTAAATATAATCAAAGACTATTAAGAAGATGGTCTTTGATATAACTAAGATTTAGTGAAAACATGGAAATATACTCTGATATTTTGATTTGACAATGACACACTGTTCCTTTTTCTCATAATTGAACTCAGAAATCATTTGAATGAAAAAATTTGAAGCATGGTTTACTTAGAAAGACAAAAGATGTTAATTTCTTTGTTTTTTTTCAACATAACGTCAAATTTATAATTGGATTACCACCATATTTGAAAAGTTTGAATATAGACTTGTATGAGTGTGACATAATGGCAGTTTAAAAGACTGTGTTTTACATAAGGAAATATTTGATCTCTCAGTATTTATTAGTCCCCGTTCGGACGCAGTCCGAAAACGGGGACTTATGTTTTGCCCTGTGTGCGTCCGTGC